GTCTTCGAGATGTCTCAAAGCGCTTCACAGAATATACTGTAAAGTGACTTGACTGTGTATTTTGTGGGTAAAACACAGCAGCCAATTGCGCACAACAGTGTCCCACAAACAGTCATGGATTGAGTCACTAAATTATTATTTTTTTGGAAGGGATTTGGAAGCAGCCCAGGATTGAACCCAGGTCAGTTGCGAAGTGAGTGCTTAAACCAATACACTACATGACTCCATATCTTCAACATATAGTATTCACTACTCTGTATGAAAAGTTATTAAATCCGAATTGTCCATTCATCTCTCTCTTCTCAACCCCTCATGCACAATGCCACACAAGCACGTATAGCTGAACCAACACACTCATTGTACATGTGCAAGATATCAGAGCATGAAGCACGCGTGAACAAAATGGAATGTCAAAACATCTTATTTGTGGGGGAAAAAATCATTGAGATACAATGAGTTGAACTCTTGAAAATAAATTTTATTTAGCTTCATATTTTTGAGTGACGTTCCATTGAATGTCTGATATCTGCCTCCAGGGATTAAAATTCTTCCAAGTGTGAAGCCTTCAATTTACCAATTTTCTCTATATTCATGACTATTTGATCCCTTAGTTTGGGCTGATTTATCCAGTTTCAGATTTTTGTTGATCTAAATTTGTCTCAAAGTCTCTCAAGCAATTTGATGCAAGCAGCCATGGGTTTAATATTTACTTTTCTTCAGAGTTCTTCATTCCATATCATATATCTCTGATGGGCAAGTGTGAACAGAACTGATGGCTGTAATAAAGATCTGAAGGTTGTGTTTGATATTTATGTATTTAAGAACATACCAGTTCAGAGTCTTGGATCTACAAAGGTTATTCTGGTATTGCAGGATGTGTGCAAACTGAAAGTTCTATCGCCAGTTTCAATATGGAATTAAATGCACATTGAAAATTGACTTCTGGTTTGCTAAAAAGGTATTCCGGCCATTCAATCAGGTAGTCAGTGACCCAGGACAGCAGATGCCAACTTATAGCCCAGAAGATCATTTGGTTCATCTGGTCTATTCTGACTCTTTGAAAGAACAATCCATTCAGTCTCACTTAGCTGCTTTTTTCCACATATCACTGCAAATCATTCCTTTTTTGGAATAATCCTTGCATTTGACATAACATTTTGTCAAGTCTTCAAAGTACTTCACGAATATATTGTAAAGTGAATTGACTGTATATTTTGTGGGCGAAACACAGCAGTGAATTGTTCACAGAGCAGAGTACAGCACATCTTAACAACTCTCTATGTAAAAATCTTCTAATTATCCCCTTTACCACCTGAAATTGATGCCCTCTAGTCACTGACTCACTGACTAGTGGATATAATTTCTCCCTATTTACTTTATGCAAATCTGTCTACCTATAAAGGCCTTCATCAGGTCTCTTCTCAATTTTCTCTAGACCTAGTTCCTTTCGTTTCTGCTCATAGTTCAAACCACTCAGCCCTGGTATCATCCTAGTAAATCTCTGCACCTACTCTATGGCCCTGACATTCTTATAATAATCTATTATTAATAGTCCTTAATAATCCTTGCATTTGGTGTAATGCCTTTTACGTCAGGTGGATGTACCAAAACACTTTACATGAATTACTGTAAAATGCAGTTTCCGTGTTGTTTTTTTGACCATGCCATCGGCCAGCCCCTTCCCCATGCCCCCCAACCCCAGCTCAGGTCTGAAACGCTGTCCTGTCCAGCGCCTTGGGATGTCCTCCCAACGTGAAAGGCGCTATACAAATGTAACCTTGTTGTTGTTTTTGCAGGTGAACATGGGAGCCAATGTGTGCACAGCAACGTCCCACAAGTAGCCATGAAATGAATGATCAATTTATTTGGAGGAATTGTTGGTCAGGGCACAGGGAGCTCTCTTCTCTTTTTGAATAGTGTCATGGGATCTTTAACATCCACCTGAACAGGCAAACACAACCCTCGATTAACATCTGAAGCACAGCACCTCCAACAATGCAGCACACCCCATCAGTGCATTGGATCACTGCTTAGACTACCTGAGTTCCAAGTCGTGATGTACGGCTTGAACCCACCACCTTCTGACTCAGAGGTGAGAGTGCTTCTGAGCCAGGCTGACACACACCAATTGAGCCATCTTCCTGAAGTAAGATCACCAAAACTGGACACACTACTTCTTTTACTGGGATATAACCAACAATTTATACAGGTTAAACATCATTTTAAATTCTAGATTACTATTTATAAAACCTAGCAGCCTAGCTTTCTTCAAAGTTTTTCAACTTAACTTCCATCTTAAAGATTTATGTATGTTCACTAGTCTCTAGCTTTTCCTAAACTTCCTCCCAAAATATATAACCTCCCATTTTTCTGCGCTAAATTTCAACTGCCATCTCTCTGCCCAATATACTAATCTGTCTATAAATGAAATGAGTGTCCTTTTGGCAGTACCCAAGTAGTTAATCTTAATTTAAGTGTGAATATGAATTTGAATGATGTGGAACATAATTACAGAATGAACAATCTGCAGGCTACAAATTTTTTAGTGGCTGTTTGAAAGCTTTTTCATTTTACTGATAATTCATTTTGGAGTATGCCTAAAACTGCTATGGAAGTGCATCTCTTTTATTTGCGTACAACATGAACAGCTGTGGAGTGTCCAATTATCTTTACCTCTGTTTTACAAATTAGAGTAGATCTTAAAAAGGAAAATGTAGCTCAACACCACAAATGAATGCCACAAATCAGATTTTCAAAAACTTTTAATAAAAAATAATCCTTGCATTTGATAGTGTCTTTAATATGTTGTCCAAACATCTCAAAGCGCCTCACAGGACTTACTGTAATATGTAGTGACTGCGTATTTATAGCCAAACATGGCAATCCATTTGACCACAGCAATGTCCCGTGAACAGCCATGAGTGAATGACCAATTTATTTGGAGGATTTTTGGCTGGGACACCAAGAGAAACTCCCTTCTTTTTTCAAATAGGGCCATAGGATCTTTAATGTTCAACTGAACAGGCAGACATAACTTCTCATCTGAAGGACAGCAACACTCCTGGGCATTGCCAGCCTATGAGCTCAAGGCTTGAACTTTCTGACTCTTAGGCAAGAATGCTACTAACTGAGCAAGACTGACACTTTATAAATCCCAATAAGAATCTGCTGACCACCACAAAGTTACGGTAACATCTTCTGAAAAGACTGAAGCCATAAAATTCTGAGTTGTTGCTGACTGTTATTAACTGGAGCTTCACTTTCAAAATATACTATTTTTTGCAGTAAAAATCCAGTATGCTGAGTGCTGTTCTGGCCACCAGCTGAAACCATACCTACAGAATCCCCAAGACTGCATTCAAACTGCTTCAGTGACATTAGATAATCAGAAAATGTATATTGACTTTGCTGTATTTGCTAATTTGATCAAAATACACAAAATGTATTCTCCATATGGCAAAGACATGAGCTAAAACTTGGATCAGAGGAAAATCGAACTTCTCAAATTAGTAGATTTGACCTGAAAGTACTTGCTTGCTTTCAGGTAAATAATCATCATTCTGCCAAGTGTAGCTTAATCCAAGTGTCAGATTAGACAAGATACAATGCCCACTTTGGGCAATTTAGGCTTGTTCCTTTGTGGGGTCCTGTAGCATATGGTGAGAGCACTCACCTCGCAAGCGAGAGGACCTGGATTCGAATCCCAGGCAGGGCGCACAAAATGTTAGGCAAGTTTTCCACAAACCTCTGTTTACCTAGTAATAAGTAGGAACCCGGTTGTCAGTCAATTGGCAGATCACTTTTCCGGGAGCAATAACCTCTTCAAAAAAAATGTGTTCACCCAATCCACAACTGTTCATGGGACAATGCTGTGAGCAATTAGCTGCCGAGTGTCACACACAACATATATACAGTCAATTTACTTTACAGTATATTCTGTGAATATTCAGTATATTCAGTATATATCCTCTTCGACCATGTTTTTGATCTCCCTGATTCCCCCCTTGCCCTCCACCCTCCCCCAGCTCGGGTCCGTAACTCTATCCGTAACTCCCGATGTAAAAGGCACTTTACAAATGTAATTTTGTTGCTGTTGAACCGCTTTGAGATGTCTCTAAGACATGATAAGGTGCTATACCACATGCAAGGATTGTTATTATATTATTATTAAAAAGAGACAACTTTCACTTGGATGGAATACCATTATTTTCTCCTCCAGGGACCTCAGGGATAAGCCTTTGTGCACCTCTTTGTTCTTTGAAGCAGCCTACACATCAACCAATTATTCACATGATGGTCATGACCTAGTTCTTTTCAAGGAGAAGGGAGCAAAACCTTCCTTTTTACACAAGACTTATGCAGCACATTATTTTGAAGAGCAAATGTGCTTACTATTGTGGGAAATGGTACTAATTGTTCAAATGGTGTACCAATTATTGTTCCTCCTATGGTAAAATTGACCTTGGAATACTCTGAGGCTTGTCAAACCTGTCTGATAATGTGGCACATTCTGTGTAATAGAAATCTAACCAGAACTGTAGAGATTCTCTTGAAAGTTACATTACAACAATTATACTTTGTGAGGTGAAAGTTCAATACATTTGCGAAGTATTTTCTACAAACTAGACAGCAATTATACAAATATCACAAACGCATGGTAATGTATCTGCATCACTACTCGTTATGGTTGTGTGTGGGAGGGAAAGGTTAAGGGATAGAGAAATGGAAAGGATATATTGATATCACTGATGTGAGATCTGTGATCACCCAGATAGTCCAAAAGTACTGGAAGATCCAGTGGGAGATAAAGACAAGCTAAATAACTGTGTGGAAATGAGTCTTGGGTTTAAACACCTGATGCATGGAAAGTTTGGTTTGGATAGTCCTAAGCATGGTGATGGGTTTTCACATGTGTAAAGACACCCGACTGACCAAAAAAAGACTAATTAAAGGAGCAGAGTAAAGGTGCTCCACCTGCCTTCCAACATTACAAACACAAATGATATAACAGCTTACTTTATTTGCTGTTGATCTGATGATAAAATACATTTCATACAGGAGCTATATTACTAATTTACAATCTCCATTATAAGAACAGACATTTAATTTTTTTAAACAAGAAAAATATAATCTGTAACAAGAAAGACATTTACCAGAAATAAAGAATCTATGTTCTTTACAAGTGGCTTCATGTATCAATTATTCCAAATGCTTATATGGCAACATACACCATTTACTGATACATTTGAGTGTATTCTCAATGTTACTGACCATGCATTTTGCAACATGTCAGTGGATAAATTTATTTGCATCACGATGGGGGGAATTAATTTTAAATATATTACGCCACATAAATTCCTTTTAACAAAAAAACATGATGCACAACCAATGTAAAGTAAAAGAAACATTGTTTTCATTGTTTAAATTCTTCAAAAGTTCTTTATTTTTTAAAAATAGTGATTTCTATATTGATATTTGTGAAAAAAATATTACTGTTCATTTTTAAAACTATATATAGACCTAATATATTTTTACATAATCCTCCTTTATTAACTCAAGAGTCCCTCAAAATTGCAACATAAAGGCAAAATATTAAAAATGTCTTAAAAGACAACAATAAGCGGTGAGAAGATTCATGCTATTTTTACAACCCTTTTTAAACCAAAACACAACAAAAATGCTTGGTAAAACTATTACGTATCATGTATTATCTGGTGATTATGTTGTACTCTTTGAGACGCTCATTCACATGAAAGGCGCTATACATGTGCAAGTTGTTGTTACTCTTTTTCTGAGAGATGAAATAACATACAGCCCATGGTACCCAGTTCAAGATCTGTTCCCATTGTATTAAAGGGAAAGAAGAAAGAAATACTCTACCATGATCAAATATTTATGTTTATTGGCCCCTTAAGCAAATCACTGACTGCAGTGATCTCCAAACTTTTCAACCTTTCTAGCACAGGATCTCAGTCTCAAGATCACACCTCCCACCCCAATCCAAAAGCACTACAAATATTTTATGCAAGTAATTCACAAGATAACTAGGGAGGAGAGGCTGAAGAAGGCACTTTGGCCTTTTGTTAAAATCTCAACCTTTCCTCACCTTTCCCATTACATCACCAGGTGGTTTCTTAAATGAGTCCAGTGTACTAGCAACCGACCTCTTTCTCTTGTAACCTGTTAGATTGTGTGAAGAAACACTTCTTGGTGAATATCTTAAAACTGTCCTCAATAACCCTGAATTAATGCTTTCTTGTCCTACTGTATTTGTCTACCTGAAAACAAAGTATTCCAGGGTGGGCCTGACTGGCGGTATGGGTTAGAGAACACTAGAGTGTGTTCACTAGAGAGAATTTTGAGTGAAGAACTGCTACTTGGAATCAATTTAAGAACCAGATCTTGCAAAAAACAAGTGGTGATAACTAAATGTGGCTATCCGAAAATAGCAGTCTGCAGTTTCACAGGCTAAGGTTTGTTTGCCACACTTTCCTAGGAATAGGATCAGTAGTGTTATGAAGGAGTGACTGTTTTGTTTTGACAAGTGACACTTTTGGATACCTTCATTAACCTTCTTGAAACTAAAATATTGTTACAACTAACAATCAGGATATTTTTCAACACCGTAAGTCCTATTGTTGATCCCAGAAATGGAGGAGGTCAAAATCTTATTGCAGTCTTCTTATTCTTCCTTGCATTGAACTATACAATGACCTTAGTTTAGAATGATCATGAAAAGAAAACATAGTGTGATAATCATGAGCTTTAAAAGGTTGATACTGTGACATTCTTAACTGTAGTTCAGTATTAACCATTGGCAAAGCTGCACTTCTTTGGAGTTTCATTAAACAATTCCGCTGATCTTGAAACTGTCCAATGGAGTTTCTTTGCATTTCCATCCAATATGGTAAAGTTTGCATTGCAAAGTGCTCATGTCATCACCTGCTCCATGGTTGATACCAACAAAGTACAGACCTGTGATCGAACTGCATCTCATTTTAAAGCTGCAGTATCACTAATTCCTTTAACTACTTGCTTTACAGATACCAAATCAAGCCAACTTATTCTACAATAAGTAATAATTGGTCACAATGCTACTAGCTACTGGTGTGTGAAGTTGGAAGTTAATTGGCCAATCCATTAGCACATCCTGTATTAGCAGCTTCAGGGGAAGAAATTGCTGCTTTTCACATCTCAATAAATGTGGCTCTTGTTGGCTGTGTTAAATGGCACTAGGAAATAAATCAAGAGAAAATACTGCACTTGTGTTTTCACTGACTAGAGCAGAGATGGCCAACTTGCGGCCCATGGGCACATTACGCACGTGTAAAATAGTCATCCCTGGACTAGAGTATGGGCTGTTTAATAAACTCAGAACAAGGAATATTGCAGCTTAAATAGGCTTCAGTTAGAAATAATCTTCAAGACTCCTTCCTTTACGTTCCAGAAAGGCTTCTAATATTTTTGTTAACTTCAATTTTGTTTTGTTATTAATGAGAAGGTCACAAATAAAAACAAACTAAAATACCTGGGGGCCCTGTTCATATTAAACAGGTATAGCAGTACAATTCTGTTACCAAACAAGATTTTACAATTTACCCTGTTTGCTTGTGACATTTTGTTTGAAAACAAAACAAACACGAACATGATCTTTTAGTGCAACCTCTGTCTCTTATAAACACATACCAGTCACTGAAGTCTAGAACAAGGTGCCATTATTCATAAAGTCTGTACATTTTCCTGATACGCGTTTTACAAGGGAAACCATCTTCACTTATCGTACCACCAGGCAAGAAACACATAATTTAGATGGTCCAATGCAGTCATCATGACAAAATGCCCCACATCCTTTGCATATGATCATGGCTTTAAGCCTACAATAGCACTTGGAAGGAGTGTCCTCCAGGTTGCCACCTTCAGGAAACATTTGGACAGAATTGCCATGGCTGCCTGTATTTATGGACTGACCAGCAGGAAGTGTCGTAACAGTCACAGAGAAGGATACCATATTTCCAGAGCTGTTTGAGACTTGGCTGTACACAGACATTTCTGTGACAGCAGAGCAATGGTTCATCTGTGGTGCAGAAGGAACACTGATGCTGCTGCCATGAACGGGCTTAAATGCAAATTGGGAACTTGCTCGGTTTCCATAAGGGGGGAACTTTTGTTGGTGCAATGGCTGGGAGGGTTGTTGAAAACCTACAGACAGGTTGGGTAACCTGTGAGAGTCTGGATAATTTTGATTTAATTTGCCACCTGTATGAGCAAAGTTAGACTGCAGTCCCTGGTTGAACTCCTTTGCCACAGTAATACCTGCCACTTGTGCCGCAGACAATAAAGGAGTGTTCTCCTTTTCAGTGTGTCTGTAATCATGCATTGGAGGTTCTACTTTCAAATATCCACTGGACAAATTGTCCATGCGAGTACAGGCAGTATCGTCACCCATCTGGGGAAACTCTTGCGAGACCGGTTCGGTTTTGATTAATATAACTTCAGGACGACAGGACTTTGACCTGTTGTTCGGTTCCGATGTGAGTTGAATGCTGCTATCAGCTGTTTTTGTGTTGCCCTCCTTGATTTCCTTCTCAGTCGTGTGTGCCAAACCATTCATACGAACCCGAGTTTCAATGTCTTGAACATAGGCACGTTTCCAGCTCTCTGAACCTCTTCCATAGGTAGCTATGTTGAGCAGGTAATGACCAGACACAGCTGGCTTCAGGGCAGACTTTGTCCCCATCAAACCAAACCTGGACCTTTGACCAACGGAAACTCCTCCAGAGGAAAATCCTGAGCTATTGACTCCGTGCTGTAAAGACTCAGAAACAGGACCCAAGATTTGACTCTGGGCATTGCTCATTATATCCTGCTGCACACTCTCCTGAGTGGTCCTAGTTGGCATTTCTGGTTCAGCCCGTTCTTGATCTGTATTTGTGCTTCTCTGCTCTTCATTGATACAACTGTGCTTTGAGGTCTGTTCAAGCTGTTCCTGTTTATGTTGAGCAGTAGATACAACAACTTGCCCTGACATTGTCTGAGATTGTCTTCTTCCAATAAGGTCAGTAGTTACCTCATAAGACTTCTGCTTTGCAGCGTTGGCATTTCTGACTGTCACCGATACCAGTGCCTCGTCATCAACTGGTATCTTCGCCACATCATCTGGCAGGGTTTTAGAAATCTGATTAACAGGTTTGAGCTCTACTTTGGTCACAGGCTTAGGCAGGAATTGTTCCAGTGGTACTTCTTTCCCTCGAAGTAATTGTGCAACCAGTGGATTGTTAGCAGGGATGGAGGAACCCAATTTTTGTAAGATTCCACAAACAGATCCTTGTGGTTTAAGGCTGGGTACATCTTGCGAAGTGCAAAGCGACTGTGCAGATACAGCAGAAGTTACTGAAGGAGTTTCTGGATTTGAATTTGCTGAGGGAAGTGGGGAGGCCACTTTTAGAGTTCCAGCTGTGCTTCCAGATGCTACAGAAACAGAACCAGCTGTTGCGGCCACCCGACTGGTTGAAGATGGAACTGGAAAGTTGCTTTGTTTATTAGTGGACATGGAGGCCAGCTGGGGATCAAAGGACAGCTTTCTCCCCACATTTGATATCCTAACATTAGAGTCTGTGGAGGGCTGTTGATTCGTCACTTGACCTTGCTTACCATGCATGCTAACATTTCCTGAGCTTTGAGTTACTGCATTTGCAGACTCGGAGTTTCTGAGGACAGATACAGGTTTCAAAGCCTCTTGCAAGGTAGGATTACAAATCTGCTTCACAGTTTGTGTCTGCAATGTAGCAGGAGAGGCCTTTGTTGCAGTAATGTTTGTTATTATTGGACTTGACTTTGTGGAAACGAGTACAGTCACAGAGGGTGCTATGTGCGCACTTGGTAATGTCAATGCTGATGTTGTGCCTGCTGTAACTGAAGCTGTGCATCTGTTGGGGCCTGCAGTGTGGGCTGCAGACACAGATTGCGCCAAGGGGGCTTGCTGTAATTGTGTTCTTGAATCCAGATTGGCTGCTGGCTTGATCGTGGCCTCTTCCAATGGTTTGGACCGTTGTCCTGGACAATCAGACAAGGACCCTCCAATACCTCTCCTGCCTCCAGTTCTGTCCATTTCCACTGCACTGCCCGATCGTCTGATTTCACCCCCTCCTCCCGGACCGGGGCCTGGCACAGCTCCACCTGCAGCTGCGGCGGCTGCTGCACGCTGAGCTTTGGCAAGCTGGGCTTTTGCTTTGATGTCTGCGAGAGTCCTGGCTCCAGTTCTCCCTGGACTAATGACGAGCGGTGAGAAAGTGGCCCTTGGAGAGACCTGACCACTCGGGATAGGCATGGATCGGATCCTTGAGAATGGAATCTGTAAAGCAATTGAAATAGGGAACAAAATTAAAATAAAAATACAACTGTTGGTATTCTCACCCGCATGTAGTTGTTAAAAAACATGTTTGGATTTTATTGTTAATGTAGTTTTGACATTTACAGCAATCTAAAGGGAAATTGTAAAGAATGTGGTCCTGAATTCATTTTCTGTTACAAACAATGCAAAAATTGCACTCGCAGAAACTCCCCATGAAAACTTGGTGGCCATTTATCTCCGAGAACCAATATAAGCAGAATAGGAATACATTTTTATAGCTTTTTGCTGATTGCCAAATGGTTAAAGGCACCACCCTGAGCCAGCCCTATGTCTTTGGCTGATCTGAGCTGGCACTGTACTCGCGGTGCTGCACTTGGCCTCAGTGCTCCTGCACAAGGGTAGGGGAAAAGCAGGCAGAGTTCCCACTCCAATACCTTTCTGAGGACCCTTGCGAAAGGTGCATTTGTGTGGCTGCCAGGTAAGGACAGGATTGAGCCTGCTATGAAACCCTCCTTGGTTGAATGCCCTCTCAAGACTCACAAGTGATCACTCAGACAAGGTTCCGGGGGTCACCTGACAACCAGCATCTCCATTTGAAGGAAAACTTTCAAGAAGAGGGGAATTTTTTTTTAAATCATTCCACCACTTTGTAGCTATTCAATATCATAATTGCTAGTGTTGCAACACAGTCAGGTCAACCCACGTTAAGAAATCTCTATTAAAAGTGATAGTGCAGATTAGTTATATTCTGTAGGAGATTAATTATTTTGTATATTGTGGACTGTGTCAGAGTTTCGCTTTCATATACCTTGAGAGGTGGGACTTTGGGTTCTGGTGTTGGAATTTTGTTTTCGGGAAAGTGCTTTGGTGGGGTCCGAAATGACTGCTGGTCCATGACCCGGGGTTTTTTCTCAGCAGTGAGCAGACCCTCTCCTTCATTGTTGCACTTCCTCTTGAGACCCTCTGCAGTAACTTCCATTTTTTCTGTAGAACTTGCCTTTGTCGGTGGTTCTTGTTTGCAAGGTTCAGATGTATTGTTCTCCACCAATGCTGCAGCCTCGGGTCTTTTACTCTCTAATATTTCAGCGCTCTCTTCCTTCAGCTGTGGTTTGGACTCATTTAGATCTAATTCTGGCTTAGAAACCATTGGTTTGGCCTCACACTCTGGGGAGGCAATGTGGCCTACTTTTGCAGTCTCCTTATCTGGCGTCAGCACTGAAGTATGAGGGTCAAAGTCTTCGACCTGTTTCTCTGACAGGTTAACCGTCTCCGAGGATCTCTCTGCTTTAGGGGGTTTCAGATCTGCAGGTGATTTGCTGACAAGCTCCACTGCCTTCTCTGATCTCTCATCCTTTTCTACCACTTTTATTATTTCTGCTGCTTGTGCCACAGCTTTGTTTGTACTTTCTTCTTTTGGCTCAAAGAGCGTTTCTGCCTTGATGGCAGTTTCTTGTGCAGCTGGTTGGATAAGGCTCTGCTTGGGTGGATGACATTTACTGTCCTGGACACTGACACGAGATGTAGTCAGCTTTTGGGAGTCTTCCAGGCTTATGCCAGAACTGCAAAAAAAATTGCAAAAAAATTAACTTGTGAAATATTGTGATTTTTTAAAAACACAAATAGATATAGAAAGAAAAAAAAAATGCATTCTTATACCGCTCATCATTTCAAAGAATCTCAAACCCCTTCATAGTTAAAGAACTATCAAGCTTAATGACTATTGATAGGCAAGCCCAGCAGCTACTTGTATCAACTATAGTCCACAACAATTATGGGGTAAATTAACAATGAAGATGCAGGATTGTTGGCCAGGATACTGGGAGAATTTGACTTCTCTTCGATTAACATTATGAGATCTTTAACTATCTGGAAACAGGTAAAATGTCTTGATCTGAAGTATTATCTGAAGGATGGCACCTCCAACAAGACAGCGCTGCCCTCTTCCAGTAAAGCATTGACAATCTAGATGCTGGTCTTAATTCCTAATATGGACATAGCTATCTGACACAAAGACGAGAGTGCTATCAACTGATCTAAGGTGATCTTAAGAGTGGAGCACCGGAAGAATGGAGTTAAGGCAAAGGAATCAACAGTGAGCCTGCAGGCAGAGCATTCATATGGCTCTAATTGAAATACTATGAGAATTCTGGTCCTTGTTTTACAGTAGTAACATCCTGGCTTTAGATGTTGGTACAGTGAGAGGCAATTAAACAAATGCCTAGGATTAGACACCTGAGTTATGAGGAGTTAATTGGAGTTGAGGTACAGATCAGCCATGATCTAATAGAATGGCGGAACAGGCTCAAGGGGCTGAATGGCCTAATCCTGTTCCTTTGTTCCTTCTGAGAGGGTACGGAAATTGGACACGTTTACACTGAAGAAAGGGCTCAGCAAAGATCTCAGTAAAGTTTTAAGACACCCATGAACACCCATCACCATGCCTAAGAGAATCTAAACCAGACAGAGTTCCACATATGTGTGCCACTTAGACATGGAAATTCCTGTGTTTGGAACAGAATGTTCTATTTCTTGGCAGATGCACTCTACCAACCTAATTTCAAAGACTATTAGGCACAGGTTGTCAAGAGCCAAAGCTAGGGGACCCCAGAGTTTGCATCGGGGTATCTCTGCCATTTAACCCACTAAAACTGTATAGCTTGTTAGTGAAAGCACACCTTGTCTAGCTGGGACCATCCCTAAAGTTAAAGCTTTGGCTTGTAGGATCAACAGGAGCCGAGTGGGAAGAATCCTTGCCCCCAAAGTTTTCATAATTTCTAAGAGTAATGTATGAACTGAACCAAATAATATATTTGAAGTACAGCATCAAATTGTGTTTATATAGAACCTTTCAACAGAAGAATCTGATCCTGACTGCTAAGAAAGTTTCCAGGGTCACTGCATAATAATCATTCCGAGCAGAAACACTGTAATTGGCGGGTGAATGGGGAGCTATGACATGACACCTATAATAAAACTGAAATCTCAGAACAAAATAAATTGATTTTGTGCTAATTTAGAAAGAAAGAAAAAAATCCATTCAATTTATTCTCAAAAAGCTTGGATGGATGAGACTGGTAAGAGGAAGGCTGAGCAGTTATATCAGTGGAAAGTTAACTTGAGATTTTTTTTAAAAAATGAAAGCGTACTGGAACCTATTATATTTCAACTCTGCATTAATTTTGTTTCAAATTCACAGAAGGTTACTGAGTAATCGTATAAGACAGCGTGACACAGGTCACTGAAGCGCTTGTGGACAGAAATTGAAGGTCAATATAATTTTTGAGCCGCATCAGTGGCATTCATTTGAATACATTCACAGGTACTTTTATATGATTTTGATTAACTAAAAAATACTCGATAAATGTGTACAATTCAGAGGCATTTTGACCAAATGGGAATGGGACTCCCTTGGCTAAATAAGATATTTAAATGAAAATAAAAATAAATCAAAATGAACCACTAAGAAAATAACTGGATAAAATTTCCTTACATTTGACCATAGTAATTCTCAAAAAAATGCTCCTTCCACTGTTCCACTTTCTTTTCCTTTTCAATCTCCTGTCGTATCCTCAGCTGCATCTCTGGAGTAAATTCCCCTATTGAGAAACAAATAGAAAGCAGCGATTGACAGGATGAACAAAGTTCAGTGTGGTCAAGAATGGTGTGGTTGGCATTCTTTCATCCCTGGACAGATAGATGTACAGAAAGGCAGTAAATCTAAAATATTCTGTTTTATTGGTGCATTTTGCAATCCAATATCCCAGTCCACATTGTGCAGACAACAATGATGTTTTCACAATGTTGAAAATGTTCAATACTATACTTTGATCTTATGTTATGATCTTATTTTTGACTTTATGTGATCATAGTATTGGTGAACCCAAGACCATTCTGGCTTGGTCAAGGTTAAACCCTGAAGCAGTTTCTGCAATCGAATTGCAATTGGCTGATCTGCTAAAATCAACTTCACTTTGCAAAGGGACCTGACATTTATTCTATCATTTGGTGAACGGGATTGTGCAGGTAATCCAAAGCCGTGCAGTCACACTGTACATGAGACAAATGGGTAAAGCACCGCCTTGGGAGAAACACTGCAGAGTGAAGCCAAGCATTGTGCCTTTGAGGTGTACTTGAAAGCAGATTCCAAAAATAACTTCTGCTTGCTGTTTCCATGGCCACAGCCTGCATTTAATCTCCATTCACACTACCTTCAAACATGAAAGACCTGCCACCAATGTACATGCAGTACTTTAGCCTCCATGTACCTACCTGGAGCTTATCATTTTAAGATACGAAAAGAGGGACCTCACCTCTCAAATAGCTTTATCAAGTTATTGTACTCTTAGGATAGTAGAAAGTTGTTTCAAACAGAAAAAATGCTTAGAACTAAAACTTCATTCAGTGAATTGAGTTTGAATCAGCTAAGGATCAAATGTGCTCATAAAGAATGTATGACAACATGCTGGGAAAAACTCAATCCAATGTTCTGAGAGTACGACTGATGTGAACTTCTGAGATAATACAGACCAACTCAGCATTAGCTGTGTCTCCTGAGGCTTAAGTGTTAGTACCAATCAAAAGGAAGACATTTATCTCAATCTCCATCACATCAATCCCTTATCCTAACGTGTACAAACTCACACTCAAAGCTACAGAAAGAAATCATCTCAATTGGACAATTTTACAAAATGTTTCCGCACACACAGGCATTGTGGCATATTGCCATACACTACTAGTAAAATCCATTTTGGTCTTTTGCCTGGTTGCGTTATCCAAAGAACATTTTTCACCAACTTTTAAATACCCACAACCTCCATATGACAGAACATCTCTTTCAAATGCCCATATCTGCTGATCCTGGGAACAAGCACCTTGATCAGGGATTGGTGTATGGAATATAGATACTTATTTTAAAAAAGCAAAATGAAAACAATTAACACCACACAAAATGTTTAAAATTGTTTCCTATTCCAAACATTAAAATAATGGATACAGCAAAGCTCCATTCACAGGGCAAGCACTGCAACCAATGCACACCAACACTACAATAATGAGGTGGCACAGTCCTTTTAAAAGGCAGCATTCCCAGTTTTTTGTGCCGCACAAATGTATATTCAACGTACAATTTAAAGAAGATGTAAATATCAGCCTTCTGATTCCGTATCATATGGATGAATAAGGTGGTTCTGGAGATTCTAGACTGGACTCACACATACGAGAACCTGAGATTGCTGTGATGCAGATTTTGATACATTTCTTCTACGTGAACAGTGATACCATGAGGCTATGCTGATGTGGAGTTACCCTCTGGCACTTGGGTGAATTGGGTGAAGAAGGCCATTCTGGGGTTTGCAATCAACTGATATGGCAATATAAACCAGCATCCTATTTGCCTAGTTTATTGTTGCCTTACACTGTTAATATGGGTAAGCGATGAGTCAACCATAGCCCTAGAAAAACAATGGGATAATAAAATCAGTGGGGATCAGGAATAAAAAAAAAGTCTCATTGGTTCAGCTTCAAGGTTTAAAATGGTGCAGAACTTTGAAAGTTTCTTTAATTCTTTGTTTTTCAGGAACGGCGGAAAATTGGCTTCTAAAGTAAAGATTTTTTGCAAAATTCTGCATGATCTTCAATTTTAAGAAGCCACACAAATGTCTTGAGATGGCTGTTCTTAGATGCTATGAATTACAGAGCAACACAATTACACATCACATTTATTTGGACATTTCAGCAATGCTTCTCTAGTAGAAATAACTTAATCAATAGAAGTGGGTTTTGGAAAGGATCTTATAAACTGTATCAAAATGATAAGGAAGAAATTAAGCTGAACATCCATCAGCGGAAATTTTTAACTAACCGTCACTAAAATGGTCAAATAATGCAGTTAATTTAGTTGGAAAGCAATTCAACGTCTGATGAGAGTAAATCACTTTGCTATTTTTCTAAGTAAATGCCAACTTATTGAGTTGAATCAGCAGTCTTTACAGATGCATGGTACAGATGGTTACCGGGCTGCTCATTTTGAAAAGCAATCTAATGTAAGATGGGATGATGTCACTTATAGAGTGATCTAAGCCTCTGATCAGCATTTATGGGCCAATAGAGAAGCAATTTAGTGTTTCCAGTTTATCAGACAACCAGCAAGAAAGAAAGTCTTCATCATGTGTGGTGAAAACATAACAGAATGTTAGGATACAGGTGGCACTCTGTGTTATAGTCATACATACAAGCACATATAGATATTGAATAGCTATAAATACCTTATGGTGCAGCGGGGAGAAGGAAAGAGGTCAGGAGATTTTGCCTGGGGTTTGGCTGGCACAAAAGAAACATGCCAATACTGTATTTTACTTAGTATCTACATCTTTCACTTGTTAATGAAGTTAGTCGAATGCCATTTATACCAAGTATTCCAAATTACAGGCTATACTAATCTTAACAAAATCGAGTCAGGGTTCTTATATCCCAAACTGTTTTCCAAGTGGACAGAACAGATTTGGGGATACAGATGCAAAGATTAAAAGGACTGTTGCAGGTGGGGAAAAAAGTCACATGGGCAAATAAGAAACAAGACTGTACATGTGTTTATATGCATATGTATGTCTGTATTTTATATTTACAAAATGAATGAGGTAATGCTGAATATGTGCAAGACATTGGTTAGCTCGACGACTGTGTGCTGTTTGGGCACTACCTTTATAGAAGGGATATCATAGTTGAGAATAAATAGTTGCTAACAAAACTGTGGAGTCCTGTAGCTCAGTGGTTAGAGCACTCGCTTCGCAAGTGAGAGACCTGGATTCGATTCCCGGCAGAGCGAAACCTTGGGCAAGTTTCCTTACTCCACACGCCTGATAATAATCCCTCAAAAAAACACAATAATAAATTGGTCATTTCAATCCATGACTGTTTGTGGGACACTGCTGTGCGCAATTGGCTGCCGCGTTTCGCCCACAAAAATACAGTCAATTCACTTTACAGTCTATTCTGTGAAGCGCTTTGAGACGTCTAGAAGACGTGAAAAGACGCTATATCAAATGCAAGGATTATTATTATTATTATTATTATTTGTACTCACTGGATCAGAGAAGGCTTAGAGAGAATCTAATGAAATTACTACATCAAATTCCGAGAGTCAATGGGGGGAGAAAAGGCATAATAATCAGCCACAACAAGTCTAAATTACTACATGAAGCATAAGCACCTTTTAGAATAGATGTTTTTACTGAAAGAGTTCATCAGACATGGAAACGTGTTACCAGAAGCTGAGTCAATTATAAACACATGAAAGCGAATTGCTGTATATAAAAAGTACATAGAGAAGGGGAAATAGGATAATACTAATAATAATAATGACGATGAGAATAAAAACTCCAAAAATGAGTAAGCATGGCAAAGACAGGATTGGTCAAATAGTTTCCCTCTGTGCTGAAATATATAGTTTACGTGAATATGTGTTTTCATAAGTGTCTGAATAATGTACATAAATAGAAAGAAACATACACAGAGCTCCGTATACCTGTTTCACTTTTTACGAGGCTTACAATTTCATGCGGTTTTGGAGATGAATGCAGCTGCAATGCTAGATAGATCCCGCATTATGTTTTACTGACATGTTAGTGATAACACTGTAATTGCTGAACACTTTTCTGTAATGCAGACTTACTGCATTTGAAAAACATGCATTAAATAACGGTGATGAATTTTGGTGAGTGGCCAAAGACTTCTATTAGATTAATCTTAATCTGTCTAATCCATCTGTATTTTTATAGGCATTTCATCAGAACTATATTCTCATGTTGATGGCATCTCAAGAAAAGTTTATCTTTCCTCAAGGTCCTGACCATTTATCATCCAGATAAAAAATCTGTGAGACATTGTTGTGGACAGGTTGACTGCCATGTTTGCATACAAAATGTGCAGTCACTGCATTTTACAGTAAATCCTGTGATGCTCTTTTGAGACAATCTCATGATGTGAAAGTTGCTACAGTATATCAAATGAAAGGATCATTCATGTTACTTTCATTATCATCTTCGCAGTGAATCTATACTAGACTGTTTCCATGGTGAGCAAATCTATTTCATTTAAAACCTTTCAGTTTTGGAAAACATTGAAACAGTTGGAAGAGTCAATGCATCGACTCATGGGCCACACCTTGAAATCTCTCTTGCAGTCAGTTAAACCATCCCAAACTATTTTCTGGTGGTAGAACGTGTAACTCTGATACAGTGGAACTGTTTCTCAGTTGTAGTCTCTTAGCAAATTGCACATGCTTCTAACTTGAGGAGGATATGTACAACAGAGCATGACAATCCTTTTATCTGGTAGCCACCTACCTGCTATCAATTAGCATTAATTTGGCCCCCTCATCTTATTGAATGTCTTGGATATTTAAACCTGCTGCATTGATATCATCTCGTACTGTGCCTGCGATCTTAGTCAAACCTGCTTTTAGCCACTTAAATTTTGTTGTCTCTACTTTGCACTTTGTGGAGTCCTGTAGCTCAGTGGTTAGAGCACTTGCTTTGCAAGTGAGAGACCTGAGTTCAATTCCAGGCAGGGCGAAACCTTGGGCAAGTTTCCTTACTCC